TTTTTTTTTTTTTTTTTTGTACCAGGGATAGAACTCAGGACCCTGCCCTTGTGAGGCAGGCAGTGGAACCACTGAGCTAAATCCCGGTGCCCTCCCCTGGGTTTTTAAAAGACATCTGTTTTACGTACTACTCTCTAGGAAAAGCTTAAAGTCTCAAGACTGTTCATTGTCTTCCAAGAGAAGGCAAAAGGACTTTAAAAATCATCAGAAGTCCAGATTTAATACTACTAACATTTTCAATAACTGGTATGTATTTCTACTTATAAGTATCATTTTTCTGATCTTAGGAGTCATAACAGTCTTAGAAATAAAATTTGAAAAAATTACATGGTGCCATCTGTTAAAAATATCTAACAGATGTTGAATCGCTAAAGTTTTCTTCTCCCATGAAAATTTTCACCATCACGTTAAGTACATACATTAGCTTTGGGTATGTGTTTTAAAATCCAACAGCTCTCCTTGATAACAGGTTCTGATGCTAAGTCTTTATTTCTATTCCAATCCCTGCCAAGTCTGCCTCTCTCCCAGATTTTGACATCTAGTTTTCAGAGCACAATTGTCCAAGTCAAGTATAACTGGCCTCTCAGCTCTGACCCACCCTCAAACACTGCTTTAGCCACTCATCTCTTATTACCCTCTTGACTGTCACCCTGGCCCACAATTCACACTGCCCTATACAGTGACTCCGTGGCTGTTTTCAGTAATGATCCAGTAAATACGTTACATTTTAACACATACACATATGTAGCTGAAACACAAGTTTCATTAAACCACTTTCTCTTACTATATGTAATGATTTCTGAGGTTTTACTTTTTCCTTTCTTAAAAAAAATTCAGTCAAAAGTAGGCAAATTGACATCAGGATCTCTAAATCGTGATGTACTGTTGAAAAAACACTCACTGGTCTCCCCGTGTTCCCTCTAAGGACAATTCTCTACCTGGGAAATCTGCCAAAACACAACCCTATCTCTTGTCTGCTCATACGTGGCTTCCTACCACACCTAGAATAAAATACAAATCAAAATACCAGGACTCCCAAGGCTGTGTATAACCCAAGCCCTGCCTATCTCTCAGACCCCAGCTCCTACCCCTGCCCAGCACCCACCCCAGCCACAGCAGGGCTGACTTCCTACTGCCTCTCACATGGTCGGCACCAGCTCACTCCTCTGCTGAGAACAGAACCCAGATCACCCCATATAACTCACTTCCGGCTCATCTCTCCGCTTCCCATCCAACTCGGCCCTGGATATAGGACACAAGGTCCCTACCATTCTTAAAGTGAGGTCCTCATCCCTTCATCCTGTCTTGTTTTAATTTTCTTCAAATCACTCACCACTGTCCGGCATCACAGTGTGTAATTATGTTTGCTATTCGCACCTCTTACTGGGGGCAGAGATTTCTATCTTGTTTCCTGCAATTCCTTAGCCCCTGTAGAGGGAGGAAGGAGGATCCTGGCAAAAAGCAGGTACTCGGATGGAGGTTGTATGAGTCATAACTTGCTTGCCTCACCAAGGCCTCTGAGAGCAGTTTCTCTTTTCCCCCGCCTGTTCCTGACCTACTCAATTCCCTTCCTCGGGGCTACAGGCTATTCGCCTCACTGCAACCTAACAAGCACCTTTGAAAATTCACCTGTAGGAAACATCCCTTGCCTTGCCTCATGTCAACACCAACTTCTCTCCCATCCCCACAGAGCAGGCCCTTCATTCTCTTACGCAGTTAAAATCCAGTCATATTATTTTGTGTGTGGCCCCTATACAGCTTCATCTGTTTTACACTGTGTCTGTAAGACATGGGCTACACCATCTTCCTATTGGTAAAGGGTATTGCGCCCAGTGCTAGGTTCCCAGGATACTTTTAATGAATGTTGTATCTGATTTTAACAAGTTAACTGTGGAGGATTAATAGTTGAAACCAGTACAAGTTTTTAAAGTCAGAGATACAGGTCTGAATCCCAGCTGCTACCTAATCTCAGCTGGGCAGCCTGAGGCGAATTACTGAACCTCTCTGGAATAAATAATATGCCGAGTTCTTAGCACTACATGATACAATACTGGCTGGGAAAATGACACCTGCTGCTATTTAACTGGGCTGAGTGTGTATCTAGTAGGGATAACACACAAGGTTCACTCAGAGATGACGCTAGTGCAGGCCTCTCTCCAAGTGGCTCTTTGTTGCCCTTTTCTGGGGATTTGGTATTTGTATAAGGAAGCCACATATCCACCTAACCCACAACTTTACCACCTGGGGGAAGTCTGGACTCCCTGCTCTTTGTGGAAAGAAGATCATTTTCTCAAGATTTTCTCCCGGTGTCAATCTCTCGGTGGTGTCCAGTTTCCTCAACTTTGACAGGCTCTTGCTATGTTCCACAACTCGTCTCTACAGTCTTTTTTTTTTTTTTTTAACTTTATTCAAGTTTAACATCTACCTGCATTCATGAAGAAAGCTTAAATGAGTGTTAAGTGTGGTACTAGCAACCATAAATAGTGGTCAACAAAAATATCATCACCCTCTCTGTTTACTATGTGGTTTACAGAGTGTAAAACTGCCAAGAATTTTCCTATAATCTTAAGTAATGAGCTTAGAGGGAAAATGAGATGGGGCAAGTTATTTGCCATTCACTGTCCTCTAATCTCCATGATTTCATCTAACTGAAATTTCACTGACTGGTGCCTAGTACAATGGGGTATATTCACTCGAAGACAGGAGAGAGCCCAGTGAGACAGGAGTCCACAGATCAGGCTTCAGATTCTAGGCCTTCATTTTAAAAAACCGCAAGGCTTGATCAGTTCACTGTACCTCTTTATGCCTCTGTCTCCTGTAAAATTGTCAGATTTCTAACGGTCCTTTAAGATCCCTTCTGGTTAAGAGAATTCTGTATGCAATAATTCCAGATTCTCTAGGAAAAATAACTCATTATGCTGGTTTTCACATCTTTTAGCATGCACATGTGCAGTTGTGAACATCTGAGTAAATTTCATATTATTTCCCGGTTCAAACTGCCAGAATCAGTCCGGGCATGGTGTCGCATGCCAGTAATCCCAGCGCTCAGGAGGCTGAGGCAGGAGGATCACTGTGAGTTCGAGACCAGCCTGGGCTACATAGTGAGTTCCAGCTCAGTCTAAACTACATAGTGAGACCCTGTCTCAAAAAAACAAAAATAAAAACAAAAGAACAAAATTGTCAGAATTGCTTCTCTAAAGAAGAGTCACCTGAAATCAAGGTGAACAACTCGTAAATATCACAAGGTTTGGCACAATCCTAAGCAGGACATGTACATTAAGCATGAGTTTCTTATATATAAATGATCATCACCTGGAAAAAAACTCTTTTTGGAAGTAAAGATATTCCAGCCTGAATTCCTTCAAAATCTCTATTAATTTGACAAATACTTTATCAAGAGATTCTTTGTGATTTTCCAAGCTGTTCAGTCTTAATCTGCAAAGATTTAGCTTCTTTTTCTTGATGTGCTTGAATTCCTACAAAGAAAAGTCACAAAACAAACTCCAAAATTTCCATGTTAAAAATACACACAAGTGAAAAAAAAAAAGATAAGAAAATACCATGGACGTTTCCATCTCAAGGTAACTCACTGCTATTGGACCCTGAAATTGTAATTGAATGGCTATCAATTTTCAAGCATCCAGAGATTACTGTATGACTTGATTATCTGAACATAAAGCACCTACCTATCTTGCAGCTAAAACTGTTACATTTTCCTTTTCTCCAAATAAGTGAGTTTTAGACCATCTCCTCAATCATCAAAATTTCTCTAGAACACAACAGCTAAAACTTGGAAACAACCCAATTACCCATCAATTGGAGACTGGATAAAGAAGTGGTTTTTCTATAAAATGGAATATTACTCAGCCATAAAGAATGAGAAACTAGTGACATTTATAGCTCAATGGATGCACATCGAGGCCATACTCTTAAGTGAAATAAATAGGACACATGTGTAAATACAGAATAGTTTCTAGGTATGAAAAACTAAAAGTGTAAATAAGGTTCCCACTGTATAATTGATTATGTGAAATAGGAAGAAAAGGGTTAAAGGTGTAGGGGAAGTGGGAAGGGTAGGGGAAAGGAAAGAAGGGAAAAGAAAAAAATATGAGAAAAGGAAAAAATGGAAACAAAGTCTCTGTAAATAGGGAGGGGAAGAGGGGGTGAAGGGAGGGCAGGGGAATGGGGACAAAATAAGAACCAAGAATAAGAATCAAGACCTGTCATGTAAAAGTACAAGATCCCAGTGATGAATGTAACTGTCTTGTATACCTAAAAAGTACCGATAAATTTAATGAAAAAGAAAAACTGCTTTAGAACAGGGTGAGACAAGTAATGCATTCAAATCAGTATTTGCTGATTATCATATTCAAAGGCAAATTTTACAAAAGGTTAGATTGGCAAAGGAGTTGCGTGTGTGTGTGTGTGTGTGTGTGGAGAGGGCATAATATATATATTCATTCCCAAAGTTGCCAATACAATATTCCAGAGTATTTTCTTTACCCTACTTTAGTGGGGGTCAATGGATACTGGCAGGCCTGGTGGTCAAGAAGTAGAGCTACTACCGTAGGTGATGGGTTAAATTAAAAGGCTTGTTTCTTATAAGCTTCCTTTCTACCAACGCTGAGACTCGCTACCAAAGAAGACCCTGCTTTTCAAATATTCTGCAATTTTCTGAGATAATAAAATGCTCCGATTGGGTGATACGATCCTTTTGTACACTAATCATCCTACCAGAGTTAGAGAATTCTAATACGCCAAGGGAAAATTCAAGTTAGACAAGCCCTTTCTCCAAAGGACACACACAAACCACCTTGTTTCACTAAATTGTCTCGTGAATGCCCTATCTCTCCACCAGGTTTCACACATCGTCACACTCCTCTCTCTCCTCACCCCTGGGGTTACACATATTTGCTTGCTGTAAGTCTCCCATCCGTGCACTCACCCATACACCCACACACCTGCCGACACACACTCCATACTCATCATCAGACTAAGCAGAAGTCTTAGAAATTGTGTCGCATATATTCAGTGTCACCCGAGTTATCCAAGTGGAAGAAACCCACAGGAAAATCACGGTATACACAGCACTTACAGTGAGCTGCTGCACCCACTTTCCTCTGAGAGCAATTTCTGGATTAGTTACCCACTGGAAGGTGCTATCAATGAAGGCTCCAACTTCGGAAATTTCTTTGAACTGCAGAGAGAGAGTTTTCACATCTTCAACTAGGAATGCAAGTGCAAATCAAGTGGTGTTACGTGTAGTAAGATTTAATTTCAACGGAACTTGTACGACACAGGTAATTTAGGAAGATGTTGGTCAAAATTTCGATCCACCTAAAATCCTTCTTCAGTTTCCTTTATTCAAGGCTGGGATCAGAACATACTAACTCTTACCCAGAATTCAGTTTACACTCAGTATATTCAGTTAGAATGATTTTCCAGAATACAGGATTTTCCTTTTCCTTCCCTTTCACATAGAAAGAAACAAGCAATTTCTCCGATTTTTATCATCTATCAAATCTAGGCTAACTACCATAGGCTCACGCTGTCAAAAGGAGCTAGAAATACAAAGATGAGGGCTTCTCCGATATCTCTAGCAATCTAGAATATCCACATGAATTATCAAAATGGAGAAAGAAATCCTGGCTATTAGGAAAAAGGAAATCAAGAGAAGAAAACTGTCCAATAGAGATCGTGTCTTCAACCCTTTGTTATTAAGGATTCAACTGCAGGAAAAACAGTCTCAAGCTGTCATAAAGGTAAATCTCTTAGCCCTGATCGGCCCAGCACTAGAAGGTGAATTTCATTAGGTTCTGAGGAAGTCTTTTCATGCTAGGATTAATCTGAACACAGACACACAACAGAACACAGATACATTTGGAGTTGGCAAACAGACTGTAGTCAGTAATACCCCGAGACAGTGAAACATGACAATCCAGTACACAGATGCCATACAATACCAGCGTCCGAAGTGCAACTGTGAAGTCCACACACTTGCGTTCGGGCTGCCTGAGGAACAGCAGCCTTTCTTGGTCCGTCGTTGCACCCAGGGAGGACAAGCTGGTTGAACCCCACCGCCACTCAGTTGCATCGTTCTGAAACAGTTACCAAAATGCCCACAACTCCATGACTCATAAAAAAACATTCGTTACATTTATTTCATAAAAGCGATGCTCATAGGTCAAGGAAATTGTCCTTAGCGGTTTTCTAAATAGCCCTGTGGAGTCTTCTACTACCCCAAAGGACTGGACACTTTCTCTCTAAAATGGCTTCATCTGAGCAATTATGTTTCCCTTAAAGGAAAATTCATTTATGAATAGAAACATTCACATGAAGGTGACAAAGTCATGGCTCTAATTTTAACACAAAATCAGAGGAGGGTAAAGAAATTCACGGGGGTGGCGGGGGGAGGTTAGAGATAAAAAGGGGAAACTATATATTCTGAGGAGACAGGAAGAGCTCCAGGAATCAAGAAACAGGCAACAGGAAACTAAAAAACATAGAGAAGCGAAACGGTCATGTGGAGAAAAGTGAGAAATGATCCACACCACCCATCGCAGCTCCCAGTGGGGTGGGGAACCTGAACACCCAAGCACCAGAGCGGTACTGGGAGTCAGACCTCCCAGAGCCGTCTGCTCACCCAGTTAGCTGATCCTCGCGTAGGTGTGACAGAGGTACCTAAACCTCGACAGAACTGCAAATCTCAACAAAGAAACAACCCGATGAAATGCAGCAACGCGACTCCTGCAAAGGTTTGGAACTCTTCGGCCACTGAATCCAATGGTACTGAAATGGATGCAGTGGTGGGCAAAAGATTCAAAAGATTTAGTTTTTAAAAGGACTGATGACTTCCGAGAGGACACAAGCAGCCGAACAAACTAAGGAAGACAAGGCAGGATATGAGAAAGCAATTCAATAAAGAGATTCTGAGTAAGAAATCTTGGAAAAGGAAAAGCTCGGTGAGTCAAACCAAAAGCCCAGGAAAGCCTCACCAATACACTAGGTCATGCAGGAGACAGAATTTCAAGACTTGAAGACAATGAATCATCACATTGGACACTAATAAAGAAAAATAAATCATGAACAAAATACGCAAAACATCTAAAAACACCAAATTTATGAATTTGGGGAAAACAAGAGGATGCCAAGTACAGACTAAAGGCACAGAAATTCTACTCAGTGAAATAACAGCAGAAAATTTCCTAAATCTTAGGAACGATGTAGGACTATCCAAATACAGGAGGTCAAATAATCAAAACCAGAAAAGAACCTCCCTATGTCTTAACATGCCAAGAGTACAGAACAAAGAAAGGATACCAAAAACTGCAAAAGAAAAATGCCGAGTCATTTATAAAGGCAAGTTCATCAGAATCAATTGAGATTCTTCGGCAGGAATTCTACAGGCTAGAAGAGCACGGGATGATGTATTTCAAGTCCTGAAAGAAAATTTCTGCTAACCTAGATTACCACATCCGCAAAGGTAGCCTTCAGAGTCAAAGTAGAAATAAACACCTTCCATGATCATCGCAACTAAAGAAATACAAGGCGGACCAGGGATTTTAGCTCAGTGGTTCTGCCACCTACCTCACAAGCGCAAGGACTCGAGTTGGATCCCTGGTACCAAAAAGAAAAGAAATTCAAGGCCAGCATTGAAAAAGATGCTTAATGGAATCCACACATGAGGAAGAGAGACACAACCACAAAAAGCACAAGAAAGAATAAATATCACTAGAAGAACAGATAAACAAGCAAGAATTTGGCAAAAAGCATTAGAAAAACAATAAAATTAAAGGAATTAGTGTACTTCTTTCCATAACGACCCTGAACAGTCTCAATTCTTAAATTCAAAGACATAGACAGGCAGATTGGATTTAAAAACAAGACCCAACTTGCTTGCTTCCTGCAAGGATCACACCTCACCGGCAAAGACATTCACAGACTCCGAGCGAGAAGACGAGAAATGGTATTGGAAGCCAACAGAAACTAACAGCAAGCAGGAGCTATACTCATATCTGACAAAACAGACAAAATTAGGCAGAAAAGACAAAGCAGGTCATTACATATTGGTAAATGGAACAATCTACCAAGAGGACATAATGATTGTAAATATTTATGCACCGACTATCAGGGCAATCGGTTCCATAAAACAAACACTACCAGACACAAAGGGCAACGAGACAAGTATTTCCGCACTCACCACTCTTATTCAACATAGTACTTAAAATTTTAACCAGAGCAATCAGGCAAGAAATAAAAGGGATCCAAATAAGACAGAGGAAGCCAAATTAGACTTGTCTGCAGATGAAGTGATTGTCTATTTATAAAGATTTAGACGATTCTGCCAAAAAAAAAAAAAACTCTTAGAATAAACAAATACAGGAGCTGGGGATTTAGCTCAGGGCTCTGCCACCTGTTTTGCAAGCATAAGGTCCTGTGTTCAATCCCTGGTACCAAAAAAACAAAAACAAATACAGCAAATCACCAAGATACAAAAAACAACACCCTAAAATCAGTAGCTTTTTATACACCCATAACAAACCCACTGAGAAGAAATTAGGAAACTAAGTCCATTCACAATAGCTTCAAAAATAATACATTACCTAGAAATCAACCTAAACAAAGAGGTTCAAGACCTGTACAGCAAAAATTGCAAAATACTGAAGATAGAAATTGAAGAAGGCACTAGAAGATGAAAAGACTTCCCATGTCCATGAAGTGGCAGAACCGATAATGTAAAAATGGTCATAATACCAAAAGCGATCTACTGATTTAATGTAACCCCCATCAAAATAGTAATAACATTCTTCACAAGACTAGAAAAAAAATCCTAAAATTCATATAAAAGCACAAAAGACTCAGAATAGCCAAAGCCATAATACCCAATTTCAAAGTTTACTACAGAACCATAGTAACACAAACAGTAAGGCATTGGCATAAAAGTAGATATGTAGGCCACGCACAGTGGCGTACGCCTATGATCCCAGCCCTCGGGAGGCTGAGACAGGAGGATCGCTGTGAGTTCAAGACCAGCCTGGGCTACATAGTGAGTCCAGCTCAGTCTCAACTACATAGTGAGATCCTGTCTCAAAAAACAAAAAACAACAACAACAAAAAGGTAGATATGTAGACCAATTCAATAGAGATCCCAGAAATAAATCCACAGAGCTACAGCAATCTCATTGTCAACAAAGATGACAAAAACACTGGACAGAAAAAAGACAACTTCTTTAACAAATTATGTTGGGAAAAATTGACATTCATATGTAGAAGACTGAAACTAGACCCTTATCTCTCACCCTGCACAAAAATATCAAACTAAAGATGGCCTAAAGACTTGCAAGTCTTAAAACTTTGAAACTGTTGAGAGAAAACACTTGAAGTCATAGGTACAGGCAATGACTTCCTGAACAAGTCTTGAATAGCTCAAGAAATAATAGCAAAAATCAATGAATGGGATCTCATCAAATTATAAAGATTCTACGCAGCACAAGAAAACAAACGAAGAGACAACTACAGAATGGGCAAACATATTTGACTGATACTCTTCTGACAAAGCACTGATGCCTCGAATATATAAAGATCAAAAACTTAATACCAAAAGAATAAGGCATCTGAACAAAAATGGGCATTTTTCTTGTTTTTCCTTTTCTTTTTCTTTTCTTTTCTTTCTTTTTTTTTTTTAATACTGGGATCAAACTCGAGTCCTTGCACTTTCAAGGCAGGTGGCAGAAACACTGAGCTAAATCCCCGGCCCAAAAATGGGCACTTCTTAAAGAAATACAAATGGTCCACAAAAATCATGTTGGAGCCAGGGATGGAGCTCAGTGGCACAGTGCCTGCCTGGCAAGCACAAGGTCCTGAGTTTGATCCTTGGTACCAAAATAGTAATGGTAATAATAATAATAATAATGTTGACCATCTTTAACAATCAGAAAAAGCAAATCAAAACTGCACTGAGATACCATCTCACTGATGTCAGAATGACTCTCATTAAGAATTTTTAAAATGCTGATGAGGACACAGGGAAAAGGAATCCTTAATTCACTAGTGGTGGGACTTACAACTCAGGGGAGCCATTGTAGCAAACAGTACGCAGAGTAATCCACGAAATGAATGACAAAACTACCAAACGATGCAGCTCTGCCACTCATCTACATATTAAAGCATTCAAGTCTGCACACTATGGAGATGTCTGCATTCTCGTGTTGATCGGGCGGAATTCACGACAGCCAAGGAAAGAGATCAGCCTCGGCGCCCATCAGTGGGTGGATGGGTAAAGAAAATGTGGTACAAACGCTGGTGTACAATTCAGCCAAAAACAACTCAAAGCTATCATTTTCAGGAGAACGGCAGCACTGAGGGATCATCATGTCCAGTGAACTAAGTCACATTCAGAATGACAAGTGCAATGCAGAAAAAAAGGCATGGAAGTGGAAGGGCAACCATTAGAGAGGAAGAAGGGGTCTAGGGAGAGAGAAAGATAAGGGAAGTTAATGCAGATGAATACGACCAAACTGTGCTATCTGCATGTGTTCAAGTTCTACAGTGATGGGGGCCGGTTAGCTCAGTGGTTCTGCCACCTGCCTCACAAGTGCAAGGTCCCAAGTTCGATCCCCAATACCACATGCTTGCATACAAGGATAGGAAAAAAAAAAAGAAAGAAAGAAAGCCGGGCATGGTGGAGCACACCTGTAATCCCAGCACTCGGGAGGCTGAGGCAGGAGGATCGCTGTGAGTCAAGACCAGCCCGGGCTACATAGTGAGTTCCAGGTCAGTGTTAATGACATAGTGAGACCCTGTCTCAAGAAAACCAAAAAAAAAAAAAAAAGAGAGATTCACGGGGTGCTCAATTGATCTCGCTAGAAACATACTGGTTTCTTCTGTCTCCTTCCCACTTACTATCAACACGTGCTCAGGGCTTCACAGAGCACGTTTTCTGTACTTCTCTCAGAGTCTCCGTCTCCTGCCACATTTAAGATCTATGACAACATTCTTAGCCTTCTTACTGACTACTAGAGACTCAAGGACTCATTTCCATTATTCAGTGAGAAGGCAAATGTCCCAATCTACAGGGAAGCGAACCGCCGAGCCAGAATTTTCCCAGCTGAGAGCGCCCTGCTGGGAAGACAGAATTTTATAAGCCCCGCATCTTGACATCATTATTACCGCAGAGGACAGAGGACAAAAACACACGGCCACGGCAGCTTTGCCTCAGTTCTGTTCAATCTGGCAGTTTGGCGGTATTTCAAAATCACAGGGAGACGAGGAGCATTTGAAACAGAATGGCACCAAAACACAGCCTCCGGCAGAACGTCCAGGGCTGCTCCAGACGGCTTCTGGCGAAGGCAGCATATGTTGTCCCAGCATCTTTGGCAGCAGCGATTCGGACAGCACTGGCCCCAAAGACACATTCTCCTGCCTTCAAGGTCGTGCGGCAGCTGTCAACGGGAGGGCACCCTGATGTCCCCGCTGTCCACGGACACAGAGAGACGGAGGCAGGGCAGAGAACGCGATGGGCCAAGTAAAACACTTCCTAAGCTAACAGGCATAAAACTGGAAAATACACAGAAGTAAAAAAGGGGGAGGCAACATTTCCAAGTCCAAAACGGCTTCCCATGTTAAACGTTCTTCCTCCTGTTGTAAGGAATTGCATCCGGCAAAACTAGATTTTTTGGCCGGGGATTTAGCTCAGCGGTTCGGTGTCCTGCCTGGCAACTGCAAAGACCCGAGTTCAATCCCGGTACAAAAAAAAAAGATTTTTTTTAAAGTAATAATTCATTTTATTACCATTCACAAATTAGCCATAAAAAAGATAAACTTGAGTCATTTGTAGGAAAACGGATACGCCTGGAGGCCACAAATTTTGTTTTGTTCTTTTGTTAAGACAGGGTTTCATCATTAGTTCAGGCTGGCCTTGAACTCACAGTGATCCTCCTGCCTCAGCCTCCTGAATGCTAGGATTACAGGTGTGTGCCACTGTGCACAACTGAGACCATAATATTAAGTGAAGTAAGACGCACAAGTTTATTTGTGTTTTTTTTTTGTTTTGTTTTTTGAGACAGGGTCTCACTATGTCGTTGAGACTGACCTGGAACTCACTATGTAGCCCAGGCTGGTCTCGAACTCACAGCGATCCGCTGCCTGCCTCAGCCTCCTGAATGCTAGGATTACAGGTGTGTGCCACTGTGCACAACTGAGACCATAATATTAAGTGAAGTAAGACGCACAAGTTTATTTGTGTTTTTTTTTTGTTTTGTTTTTTGAGACAGGGTCTCACTATGTCGTTGAGACTGACCTGGAACTCACTATGTAGCCCAGGCTGGTCTCGAACTCACAGCGATCCTCTGCCTGCCTCAGCCTCCCGAGTGCTGGGATGACAGGCGTGCGCCACCATGCCCGGCTTCGCACAAGTTTAAATATTGCATGGTTTCTTGGATAAGAGAAACCAAATGATAAATAAAGAGCAGGATAAAAGATAGATGATAGAAAGCAGGGAAATAGATCTTTCTCAGACGGGAAGGGGATAGTGAGATGAACAAAGTGGGGAGGGAAACGGGATGAGAAAAGGAACGGAGATATCTTATGTACAAGCAGCAACTCCAAACAAGGAAGGGGAACATTCTGTACCACAAATGTGTACTAATAAAAGCATAAATAAAAATTTAAAAAATAAAGGACATAGGGCAGCTGAAATAAAATTAACTAGAAAAATTCTAGTTTCTGTTCAGAATGTAATCATGTCATAAAATTGGGTTGATATCATTAGTAAAGCCAAGAAATTGGCGTTATTTCTGGGCATCTTATCGTTTGGTAAATACATTTGAGGACTTCAGAAAATACTACAACAAAGCCAGGCATGGTGGCACATTCCTATACTTGTAGCACCTAGCAGGCTGAGGCAGGAGGATCACCATGAGTCCAAGGCCAGCCTGGGTGGTTACATAGCGAGACCCTGTCTCAAAAAAGCAAAACAAAATGAAATTAAAGAGAGAACTAGAACAGAGCTGATGGCTCTCCACTGCTACCTTGAGGGCCCTAGAATGGGGCTCAGTGGGGGTGATCTGTCCAGAAAAGACCACGAATATGTAAAGGCGTGTAAATTTCAAGGCCCAGAACACACACTTCCACAAGCCAGGCCAGTGCTCCAGGCTATAACTTCTCTAGAAATGGTACCTTCCTCCAGGCTGAGAGATTTTAGACTTTGAAATCTAAAAATTGTCAACAAATATCCTCAAGCTGTCCTGGGTGGTTTTCAGAAAGCTATGAACCTTTACTTAATAGTAAGCTATACACAATTTGGGAGTTTTTTTTTTAGGTACCAGAGACCCAACTCAGGACCCTGAGCTTGCGAGGCAGGCAGCAGAACCACTGAGCTAACTCCCCAGCCCTACCTGGTTACTTTTTAAAGCTTTCCACCTGATTATAACAACTTGCCTCTGTTGATCGGGCAAGGATGAGTTCACGGTGTAAAGAGTTTTCTCCTTCACAGAGGACTCTGCTGGGCTCTCCACCGCCATTCAACTGGATCCTATTTCTTGAAAAAAACAAGAACAGTTGTCCAACCTAGTTAAGTGTGCCTCTAACAACATGCTTGAAGTCACAAGAGGGTTCACCCATCATCAAATAACCAGCGAGCCCAGAGAAGCCAATCACACCCTCCTTAAGCCACAGAGAGGAGAAACCGTCTCTGTCCGCCAGAAGCTGCAGACTGGTGACCCTAAGAAGTCACAAACAGGCAGGCCCCCCTTCTTTTCTTTAAATGCTACTAGGTACTGGACCCAGACCCTTCGCACTGAGATACATTCCCAGGTCATTTTTTTTATTTTCTTTCTTATTTTTTTTTTAAATTTTGAGGCAGGGTCTTATTAAGGCTCTAGACTTCCCAGGCTGGGCTCAAACTTGTGATCTTCCTACCTCAGACTGCCAGAGCACTGGAATTTCAGACCTGGCCACACTTTTTAAAAAGAATGAAAAGGTTTAAAAATTAGAAAAAGAAAGTCACTAAAAATCTAGATTTCTGTCTTTTCTTCCAAAATCAGCAGATCTAGGCACACAAGATCCATGGACTCTTGATATAAAAATTAATTAGAGGGCCAGGGATTTAGCTCGGCGGTTCTGCCACCTGCCTCAGAAGCGCAAGGTCCTGAGTTCGAGCCCTGGTATCAATAATAATTATTATTATAATTATAATAATAATTAGAGCCAGGCAGGTATCTACTTCTGCCTTCAAGTGAATAATGTCCTTTTCTCACTTGCTGTTCACATTCTGCAAGTGTGTGAACTCATTCTATTGGCTTTATTCACCTTCTTATTGGAGTAGCTGTGGAAACTGGGCTAACAGATGCTTTTCAGAAACAAATTCTAACACAAGAAGACAGGCGTTCGGAAGGAGGTAAAACCATGCGCTGCGCTTGCTCCCACGGTGTTTAGAGATGAGTAGGCGAAGTGTTCATGAATGGGGTTCGTGCCCTTACAAATAGAAGCCAGAGAGTTCCCTAGCTCACTTCCCTACAAAGAGAAGTCGGCAGCCTGCAACCGGAAAGAGGTCCCTAGAACTCAACGCTAATGGCTCCCTGCTCTCAGGCTTCCAGCCTCCAGAAACGTAAGAAGGAAAGGTTTGTATTGAAGGTGCCCAGGGTGAGGTGTTTTGTTACAGCAGACCAAGCTGACTGAGACAGAAACGTGTGGGAAACTCATAAAGCAGTCCTCAGGCAGAAAGGAAGAGAAGAATCACAGAAAAGGGACAAAGCACTGTGAATATAGCCCAGGGGCAAGGGTTGCTCTATACTTACAGGATGAGCTCCTGCTGCAACTTCTGTAACTCGTAAGCCAGTTCATTTTTCTCCCCTCGTAAATTCTGGAACCACACACAACCATCAGGCTGCCCGTGCGACATTACTGGGGAATTTACATTTAACAATCCTACCCTGCAGACTGTAAAACGACAGCATACCTCTGTAATGCTTCTATATTCTATGATGGACGACTTTAGCTCCTCTATTCTTAAATCCTTCTGAAAAGTACAAGAACGAAGAGCAAAAATATTAATGGAGCCACCAAATCATATCAGGCCATCAGTGTGAGCCACGGAGGAATCTTAAATACTCAGTTACCATGAGATCTTCTACCAAGCAATTAACCAACCAGTGTTTAGGATTAAAACATACAAGTAAGGGACAATACACCTTTTGCCCCGGGTTTTTAGTCTGCTCCAATAGAATCAGCCTGTAAAAGGTGATTCCTGAGCCCGAATCAAGATTATACTTATGATTCAGTTAAGGAAAAAAGTTTTTTCTACTAATACACAAAATATCAAGGAACCCAATTTTATCCAGTCCAAGCAATACATCCAGTAAAATCTCTATTTGAGACTGCAAGACCAGAAGGTACAGGTAGAGGGTATCTACATCAATCATTTTATCCCACGATTGGAACACAGGAATTGCTCAGCCAATGGACACTGGGCAGGTATGCAGGATACGGAAAGTCAGAGGCAAGTGAGGGATCACCACTGTCTCTCAAAATACCGTTACCATTATCGCAGTGGCATTGTTGGCGTAACATTCAGCATCTTGGACACGGTCCTCTAACATGTCGGGGAAGTGGAAAAGTGGAAAATATTGGTTTCCTTCCTCTTCCCTGTCTCATTGGATGGTGGATTTATCTGTTCACTTAGGCTGTGTTCTTCCTGTGTCTCTTAGAGTCTCTGTTAAGTCACATCTCATAGCACCATGTGTTACCAGGTAGGCTATCATCACGGATACAAGAATAAATAGAATGGTATCTCTGCACCTATCCATCAGTGGAACTAGGCAGCACATACCACTCTAGGGAATCTGCTCCCCACAGTGAATGACGGGGCATCCTCTTGTGTTGTTACGAATTAAAACCTCCTCGCCAGTATCTAGCCAGTGACTTGTAGGCTGAACACTGACACCCTTGTACTGGTGGCTGCACTCTACCAGAACTGATAGAGAATTTGTTCCAATGTATCAGCCAGAGTTCTTCACTCGGAAGAGCAGTTTCCCGTCCTGTCTTTTGACACAATAAAAAGCTCCTATCTTTTCATGGGAGTAAAATCACACAAATGACCACCTTTTTCATGACCTGGAGAGCTAGCCAATCCCACAGAAATCCCCAAAGGAAGGGACAATACCAACCTCTTGTACACTTGCCTCTTTATTGACCAATGTGTTCTCATAGGTGTGTAATTGCATCTAAAAGCAAACAAATTTAGGGAAGGCCATCAGGACATTGCACTTGTCCAACACTAGTACTATAAAATCATTCCCTACGGGAGACTTGCTTCTGAGAAACCTGTCACACACACATGGTTTCCACTTCACAAAGAACTTTCACATCCAGCCTAACAAGTCCTCCTCCACACAGGGCTCGCTCACTGCCCTCCCTTCACCACCAAGGAAGCCAGAGTCGAGCACTTCTGAGGTCCACCCAGGTCACACACAGTCCAGGGCACAGCCAAGCCCGAAAGGTGAGAGTCTGGCTCCAGTGACACATCCGTCCCTCTGTTTGAACTCCCCATGATAACAGGGAGTTGTCTTTGCTTCTATGGATGAAAATAAAAATCTGGACAAGACATGAACCTAGATTCCACGAGTCTACAACAAAGACCCTTCCTCTTTTAAAAACAGAATTTTAAAGTGTTCCAGATTCCTTGCAGCAAACCAAATTTTAAAGATGAGATTATTAAGCCAAAAGCAAGTTGGTTGACACACGCTTACAAATATGATAGAATTGATAAATACGTACAATGCTGAGTTGCAAACCTATAAATGCAATCAACACAGTAAAAGGCAGAATTACCATCGTAATTCTGTACTTTGGAGGTCTCTTCACAGGTCTAAAGATATTTTCAAACAGTGGTCTGAGCCAGGTGTGGTGGCACACACCTGTAATCCCAGCACTCAGGAGGCTGAGACAGGAGGATCACTGTGAGTTCAAGACCAGCCTGGGCTACATAGTGAGTTCCAGGTCAGTCTCAACTACATAGTGAGACCCTGTCTCAAAAAAACAAACAAACAAACAAACACAAACAGTCATCTGAGTTTGTGGAGTAGGTAGAAATACCACACTCAGGTTCCAGATGAGAAAATTGAAAAACAATTTGCTTCATGTTGAAAAGCTTTTGGGTAGAGAAGACAGGACCTGCACCTATGACTTCTGGTTCCTTACACTAGAGTTTATCACAGTTGCAGTTTCCAAAAAGCCACTTCTCATGTCGAATTAACTGTAATGTCTAAATTGTAAATGTAATCTGTAATCCATGAATATTCCCACAAAATTTTTGTTTCTGCTGGGAAACTTTAAAATTCTGCATCCACATGAAATTGAAGTATATCACACTTTCAAACATACACAACAAAAATATTACCCGAGTAAACCATTGAAGTGAGTGAAATGACATAAATTGATAAATTTATTGAATGGTGCCTTCCGTTTCCTGGTAAGAACATATAACACATAAGGGAAGTATATATTAAAAATAGAATTTTTACATGTAATAATCAAAATTGCATTTTCTCATTCCTTATTCGTAAGGTATCGTCCCTTAATTTAATAGGGGTAGAGATTCCTATTTTTAATTTTCAGCAGTAAGAAGATACAATTTCGTTAACTTTCTTGACAAGAGATTTTAGAAAATCAAAAGCTGATAAACTGCTACTGTAAGAAAAAGACAGACAAGAAGTGTAGCCAATGAAATCCAGAAATCTGTACCCCCACACTCTGCTTGTGGAATGTAAAATTGTGCAGCCCCTTTGGAAAACAGCCTGGCTGTTCCTCAGAAAGTTAAGCAGAATTGCCACATGACCCGGTAATTCTATTCCTAAGTGACGAAGAGAGTGAACACATGGATCTAACACACAAACCGGTAAACAAATGCTCATGGCAGTAATACAACAGCCAAAAAAAAAAGGAAACAGCTCAAGTGCCAGCAACTGAGCAGATAAACAAAATGCAGTATATCTCTAAACAAAATGGTATGTCCATAAACAAAGTGTGGTGCATCCAAACTCCAAACTCAGTAGTGTTTTATTCAGCAATAAAAGAAACCACACCCCACAGAATGGATGAACCTTGAAAACGTTATTCTAAGCAAAATAAAATTCCATTTATATATGAAATCTCCAAAATAGACACATCTAGAGACAGAAAATAGATTAGTGGTTGCCTAGGGCTGAAGTCACACTGAAAGGGGTTCCTCGTAAGATAATGAAAATGTTTTAAGCTTAATTCCCAGGGCAACCAACCAACTCTGAATACACCCTAAGCCACTGATTTATATACTTTAGGTAAATTTCATGAATTGTAAATTATGTAGCAGTATAGCTGTTACCAAAAAGGGAGAAAGCAAAAGAAACCACCTTTTAGAGAACTCAGACACTTGGAGGAATACAACTTTTAGAATTTATAACCACTGGTTATTGTCTCAATGGATGATCTACACCTTCACAGAATAAAACTGGCTTGATAGAAAAAAATATTTTACCAGTATTTGGGAAGTGCTTACTTGATGCTCTGTCTCAGTTTCAGATAATTTCTCAATCTTCTTTTCTAGTCCATCTATATCCAAAGCGTTCTTTAGATTCTAATACAAAGCAGAAGAATATTCTTAGATTTAGCACCAACAGTAATAAAAGCATTATAGCCAAAGTCTCTGATAGGAAGTGATACTGTATTTTCATTGACAACATTGTAACCCACGTAAAACTAAGAAACGGAAGTTGAGATTGTCCAGAAATAACTCGCTCTCTTGACTAGGACCGTCCTGAAACACGCTCAGTACTGGCTTCTGATATTCCATTCCCCCACCCCAACACTTACTCCACAGATAAGGCTTCAGCCTTCCTACGGCCAGTTATTGGGAGTCCTCCATTCACTTGGCTGCAAGCATCTTCCTCTCCAACCACCACCTCTTGTCTTCCATTTTTCCTTTAGCACCAACAAACCTTCAGTCTCCACTGCACCCTGCAATCCCTCCATCCTGCTACCTTTTCACTACCCTTCAAGTCGTTCCACGGGCTCGGATCCTCTTCACTCAGCTCCAGAGTCAAACGCCGGAATCTCTCCCTTCCACGTCCTCCAGTTCCCTTGCCTATTTCTTCCTTCTAGGATTTGTGTAAATTAGCTTGCCACCCACATCATGCCAGCAGGTCACGTGAAAAATCCTTGACCTTTAACCTCAATGTTTACTGGTTATCACATCACATCATCCTGGCATATTACACTGCCTTTTTCTGAAATCAGGGTTTGCCAAACTGTGCCAACCATCCACCCCTAAAGACCCAATCTAGCTGATCACCTGTTTCTATGAAGTTTGGTTTGGTGTGGTTTTGTGGGCTAGGTTTCTTGAGACAGGTTCTTGCTCTGTAGTCCAGGCTGACCTCAAATTTGGGCTTCTCCTGCACAGCCTCCTGAGTGCTGCGCTTACAGGTGAATACGACCGTGCCCGGTTTATAAATAAAGTTTTATTAGAGCTCAGCTGTGTTCATTTGCCTCTATATTGTCTATGAAAGGTTCTGCAGACGTTAGTTGTGGACAAAGGCCTTTGGAAAGTAAAGCCTATAAGCATTTACTCTCAGCTCCTGCACAAAAAAGTTTTCCAACCTCTACCCTATTGCATGCCTTTCACTTTCTTCAAATTTACTTTACCTCCCACATTCGCATTTTCAGACTTGATTTTGTTTTGTATTTCCTGCGATACTATAAACAATGAGAAGACAATTCCCGTATTACCTGCATGTATAATAAACATTTTAGGCTGCGTTCTAAAGCATTCCCTGATCTCACGCCTCTGTTCAACTCCACTGTTACTGCTTTAAACCGAGTCCCCATAAGCCTGGAACTGGGTCGTTTCAGAAGCCTCCTAACTGGTCTTGCTGGGTTTTCCTTGCCTCTCTACAGGCTGCTGTAAGGCGAGCAGCCAGAGTTATCTTCTTAAAGCAGAAACACTACCACTATATTACTCCTCCACTCAAAACTCCATCTCAGGGTAAAAGAGGGAAAGGAAAGGAAAGAAAAACAGTCCAAGTCCTCAGAAGAAAACCCTGCGTAGCCCGACTCCTGCGCTCTCAGCTCGAACCTCTTGCTTCTCATTTTCTGTTCCCCACGAGCTGGCCTCACTGCCTCTTCAAACTCACAGGCAGGCTGCAGCCTCAGGACTTAGAGCTTGCTGTTTCCTCTGCCTGCAAAGCACTCTCCACAGATAAACCCCCTTTCCAGTTTCCAGTCGAAAGGTTAACTTCACAGCACTGCTTTTCTTAACCACCCTGGTTTAATTGTACTTCTCCCTCCAGTCTGTTGCTTCTTCCCTCCATAGCACTAATTTTTGTCTACTATGCAAGCTCCTCACTGGGCCATTTTGCCTAAGTTCATGTACTCAGCATTTCGTTAGGATGGAGTCACTCATATAATACGTAAATACGTATTATAAATACGTGGTGGGTGGGTGGGTGGGTGGATGGACGAGAATCTCTACCCAAACCACTGCGCTGTTATTCACCCCCCCCCCCCCCCCCCCTCCGCTGTTATTCTTCACGCTGCCTCAGATTTTTACCTCCTAAAGGAGTCTCAGTTGGCGGGGGTATTCATATGAATTTTCTAACATGAATCAGGAATCGCAATGTTACTTCCTGATGAAGAGATTTAAGTATTCCATCTCAATCTAAACTGGTTTGGTACAATTCTTCGATGCTTGTCACTAATTTAAATACAAGAAGAAATTATCTTACGTGAGGAGTTGAAATAGAAAGCCCTAATTTCACAAACGTCAGCCTCACAGCTGTAATACAACAGAAACTTTCTTTACACCCTTTAATTACTCCTTTCCAACTCCTCATGAATTTTTTTTTTTTTTTTTTTTTTTTTTTTTTTTTTTTTTTTTTACCATGTAGTTGAGACTGACCTGGAACTCACTATGTAGCCCAGGCTGGTCTCGAACTCACAGAGATCCTCCTGCCTCAGCCCCCCGAGTGCTGGGATTACAGGCGTGTGCCACCACACCCAGCGCCCTTATGGATTTTTTTAAATATCCACCTGGTTCATAGTCTCCAGACTAGTCAGCACAGCTTAATATATATGTTGATAGACTTATATAAAGCCACATTTTAAACACTTCAAGCAGTAAGCGTTACTCACAAGCCACCTGTAGGGAATTTTCCCTCTCAAACAGTAACTTAGCAGTGACTTTGCTATCTGTTCTTCCAATGCTTAAATTCCATTGCTTAAGAAATACACTTGCAAAGATTATAGATTCAAGAGATTACACCAACATTTCCTAACATACATAAGGTACATTACAAGCAGCTTCGCGGCAACTATCTTGGTTGTTCTCCAAAACAACTACATGGAATATGTATTATTAGCACTGAAAAGATAAATGGATTTTCCAAGCCATGCTTTCATTCAGTCTAAGATCTGGATCTGGACACAAGCGTCTTGTTGTCTCACTCAGTGGAGTAACAGTGGGAAATTATTAGGTAACGCCCACCCTTTCCTTCTTGATGTGGATATTTTTAGGCTGAAGCATTTCATTTCACATTAAAACTAAACTGCTGAAATCTTATTTCTTCTCGATTTAGCTTAGTGGTTCCGCCAGCTTCCTTGCAAGTGCAAGGACCCAAGTTCGATCCCCGCTACCAAAAAAAAAAAAAAAAAAAAATCTTATTTCTTCTCTGGATAATTGCAAGAGTAATAAGGTACCTCTGTTCAGACAGAACACCCTACCTTCCTCACTTATACTTTGACAGATCGATTTGCTCTCAGGTCCCAAGCAGCCCGGGCAGTCACCTGGTTTGCACTGAAGTCATGGTCTCAACCCATGACTGTGCAATCCCCTCGTTTAGCTGTGCCAGTGTTCAATGATCCTGACATACCTCTTCCTGTAGAATCCGAATCTTAAGAATCAGAGCCCGGTTTTCTGTCTCCTGAAAAATGAATAAAAATATTTAAGAATTTTATAAACATTCTATACATTCACCTCCAAAGCTACTGACATTCCTTCCCTTTAGCCAACTTTTTTATTCATTTTGAGACAGCCTTCCAGAGCGCTGGGATTATAGGCAGGTACCACTATGCCTGGCTCCCTTTACCAACTTTAAATATAATATTCACACGTCGCAGTTGAGCCTCGTCTGAAAATATTTTCAACATGAGGTTGAGCTTGGCTTGCTGTGTCTCAGGGGCACTATGAGAAGTCAGTCTCCTCTCTGACTCACAGGAGTGGTAGTTAGGGAAGGGGGAAAAATACGAGGCATGGTGGTGCATGTCTATAAGCCCAGCCTGTGGGAGGCTAAGGCAGGAGGATCACCGAGAATTCAAGGTTTGCTGAGCGACACAGTGAGCTCAAGATCTGCCTGAACTACATAACAAGCCTCTGTCTAAAACACCAAGAAAGGGGAGGCAGGGCACTGCTCAGCTTCTTTCCCTGGTACTTAATTACCATCTATGTTTGACAAAGAGCTGAAAACTCAACTAGTCAAAATGCCCCATGAAACCAAAAAGAGTTCTAGCTTTGTGAAAGTGTGGATAGTCCCAGACTGAGTGTCACCACACATGAACATTAAAAACTATTTTTTTAATTCACAGCCTTGAATTAGGAAAAAAATACTCCAGGATAGGATAGTTGCCAAAACTGTTAATCACAAATCTTGCAAATAGGTTACAGTAAGAATTTTGTGTGGTTTTATTTTTTTTCCTCTGTTGATATGCATTTTAGTTTACAGAATAAACGGGTGTCACCTTTATAATATAAAAATGAAAGGGATAATGTCACAGGCTAAGATGTATCTCATTGACATAACAATAAAGGCACATATGTGAACATGTACACCATGGACTGGGAACTAGCAGACCGGTGTTAAATTTTTGCACTACCTTTTATTAGGTAATCGACTTTGAACAATCAAAACACTACCTAGAATTTATCATTCTACTAATTTTTTTGTTTGTTTGTTTTTTGAGACAGAGTCTCACTATGTAGTTGAGGCTGACCTAGAACTCACTATGTAGCCCAGGCTGGTCTCCAACTCACAGTGATCCTCCTGCCTCAGCCTCCTGAGCGCTGGGATTACAGGCGTGCGCCACCACACCTGGCTTCTAGTAAAAACGTTTAATATGAAGATGTAGCCGCTTGCTTCTATCTCATAGAATATCTATGATTAACCATGACATAAATTACTAAAAGTTCTTTTGAAATTATAAAACACTGTAAAATGCAAAAGACCCATACGGAATATCTAGGATAATACACTTTTGTCAATAGCAGTTAATATTATTGACCCCGACGAACCTCCTGCCTGCCTCCTGAGCGCTGGGATTACAGGCGTGCGCCACCACACCTGGCTTCTAGTAAAAACGTTTAATATGAAGATGTAGCCGCTTGCTTCTATCTCATAGAATATCTATGATTAACCATGACATAAATTACTAAAAGTTCTTTTGAAATTATAAAACACTGTAAAATGCAAAAGACCCATACGGAATATCTAGGATAATACACTTTTGTCAATAGCAGTTAATATTATTGACCCCGACGAGAAAAGACGATGACAACTAGATGCTTTACATGTGCCGAGTTTATTTTCTCCTCCCAGCCGTAGGGTGGGTCGTACTGTCCCACCCACTTTGTCTCGGGCAGTGGTCTCTGACCTTTTTTGGCACTGAGGACTGGTTTTGTGGAAGACAATTTTTGCACAGACAGGGCAGGGGTGTGTTAGGATGATTCAAGCACATTACTACACTCATCGTGCACGTTAGTTCTCTTATCAGATTGAGTACTTTAGTTCTGAGTATTACACTATATTCTCATAAGGAGCACACAATCTAGATCCCTCGGGTGGGCTTCATGGGAGGGTTCGCGCTCCTATGAGAATTAACGCCAAACCTGACCCGACAGGAAGTGCAGCTCAGGCAGTGACGCCAGGGACGGTGGGAGTGGCTGTAATTGCAGAGGAAGCTTCACTGGCTGGCTGGCCTCCTGCTTTCGGGGAGCGGGACCCAACCTAGAGAACACTGACGCTTAGAGTGGTCCTACAGCTTGTCCAAAGTCACACAGCCGGGGCCGGAACACAGGCAGTCTGGCTGTCCAGGATGGGCTTTTGATCATTTCTACATAGCGCGTCTGGGTCGGAGCTGCCCAGGGTCCTACACTGAGCGCTCCCTGCAATGCACTTACAGATTTGCACAGGCACAAAGGACCTGATGCCCAATGAGTCAGGTCCTTCCCTGCTACTCTTCACACAAGAGCTAAGCTAAATGAAGCTGAGTTAGTTCTGGGAGGTCACAAGGGACTGATCTTGCCTGGAAACCAAGATTCCCAGGGACTTTCACTCAGACTTTAAAAGCAGCTTTCCAACAAATGCCTAAAAACAGTGAGTTTAAATGACATTCAGTGACCCCTCCTCATCATTAACAATGCTAAAACACTATTTGAATTTAGCAAGATTTTTAGAAATTGCTACTAATGCTTGTGTTTCCCATAAAGTGATCACTTCTCTGGCATTTGGGTTAAAGCTTAGTCTAAGTAACTTTTTGCTCTGACATTAAAGGCCTGTGCTTTTTCAGCATAAGGAAGGACTTACGAAGCTTCTCAGCATCCTGAGAAAACTGGTGAAAGTATGACAGAATCTGGTTTTAGTTCAAGTGGTTTTTAGTAACAGATACTCAGGAACTTACCTACCAACTTCAGGAAACACTGCAGAGATTTTCTAGGTCTTTATAAAACATTATGAATATGACTGAGACAAGATAAAAATTTTAATCTGAGTGAAAAGAAAAACAGTTTTTAAAATCTTGTCTGTACTTTTCCAAAGTGTTACCAACTCTTATTGTCTTCTGATTTTTGCCCCAAACAAACCCTCTTGCGTATCAGTCTGGAAACTGTATGCCCATTTCAGAGTACTTCGTGACTTACCAATTGTTTATTCTGAGCTTCGGCCATGCTCTTCTGCTCCTCTAAAGCAGTCAAACTAATTTTCATTTCCTCCAGTTCTTCTTTTAACAGGTTTGTTCTCATAATAGCTTGGCGGGCACTGTGGGGGTGGGGGAGGACAATGCACAAAACCTCAAATGTAACCGTCAGAGATATTAAGGAAGTCGAAGACTATTTTTGGACCTAAGTTGAAAACCACTAAAGGCTTAATCCAGCTGACCACAGTAATGAACGCCTGATCTTTCAGTCCTTAGAAAAGAAAGGAATTTGGAAGGGGTATAGAGAAGGGAAAGAGAACAGAGGTAAAACAAATTATTCTTGAAGCTAAAGATTTAGAGAATCCCCCTTGAAATCTATCATTGGCTAAATGACACGAGTAAAGAGAAATGGTATTGGTTAGTGCAACTTTATGAGTATTTATTAAATAATGCTACATTCCAGGTTCTGTAACCTTGTATGGAAGACAGTGGAAGACAAGAGAGACAAGATCTCTTACATACTGGTGGTGGCGACAGCTAACCAAATAATTACCGATAAAAAATAACTGCTAAACAAATAATTATCAATAGTCTCTATATATAACAGTCCATGAATAAGTCTATTAGGGTACTGTTTGTAATACTAATGTATTAGAGGCCAGGCATGGTGGCGCATGCCTGTAATCCCAGCACTCAGGAGGCTGAGGCAGGAAGAGGATCGCTGTGAGTTCGAGACCAGCCGAGGCAACATAGCGAGTTCCAGGTCAGTCTCAACTACACAGTGAGACTCTGTCTCAAACCCCCGCCACCCAAAAAATAGTAATGTATTAGGAACAACCTGAGTGCCTACCAACTAGAAACTGATCAAATGAGTTTTGATGATCCAGCTTGTGGAATAAATGATTTGTTATCTCATTAGATTATAAACTGCTTTTGCAAGTCTAAAGGAAGGTACACTTTCTTCCTGAGGAATTACCTTGATCATGCAACAATTATTGACCTCTTGCTAAAACTTGGAAACGGCCAATTGCCCATCAACTGGTGACTGGATAAAGAAGATATGGAGTACTATTTAGCCGTAAAGAATTAGAAGCTGGAAAAAAAAGAAGGAGAAACTAGAAACACTTACAGCTAAGTGGATGCACATTGGGGCCATACGTTTAAGTGAAATAAATAGGACGCACGTGTGTAAACACCAAATCGTTTCTCCGGTGTGAGAAGGTGAGAATGTAAATGAGGCTCAAAATGTATAATAGATCATGTGAAATAGGAAGAAAAGGTACAAAGGGGAAGAGGAAGGGGTAGGTAATAACAAAGAAAAGAAAGGAATAAATATGAGAAAATGAAAAATCAGAAACAAGTCTTTGCTAATAGGGAGAGGTGGAGGGTTAGAAAGGAAGGCAGTGGAGTGGGGGAAAAATAAGAACCAAGATATATTGTGTCAAGGTCCAAATTCCCAGGGATGTCATAATACTGTATACCTAAAATCTACCAATAAACGTAATGAATTTAAAAAATTACTGACCTCTAAATCTATGCCAGGCACTGTCTTGGGCACTGAAAGCCAATGTGCCATCAATCCAATGAATGTCCCCCTCCCAGAGTCCGCAGTTTAACAGGGTAAACAGATAATTAAAACTACACTATGGTGTGATTAGGAACCAAGGTTGGAGACGGTCTAAGCTCTCTGTGCACCACATAAAAAGCAGGCAGTAAGGGAGTGTGTGCATCCGAGCAGATGCCAGCATGGGTCTTGCATTTTGCTGCAGGATCGAGTAGAAAATGGGCAGCAGATGCAAAGCAACAGAGCCCCATTATGAAAGGTTTCTTACACCATAAACCCTAGGAAGAAATTCAGCATGTAGGCCAGGGATGTAGCTCAGCGGTCCTGCACTTGTAATGCAAGTGCAAGGTCCTGAGTTCAGTACCAGAGAAAACACACTTGGAGTTTATCTTGCATGCAAGAGAGCTCCGTCCAGATGTTTAACACGGAGGCAGGAAGTGGTCAGACTGGCATCTGCCAAGTGTTCCTGCCAGCACAGCACGTCTGGAAGGCTCATCACGAGGCTGCTGCGGTGATCTAGGTGAAAGGTGATGCTCATGTGAATTAAATAGACGATACAGGACTGGGAGGAAGGAAATCGATACACTGGAGAGATACACAGGAGCTCATTTAACATGACTCGCTATTTGATGAAAGGGAAGCTTAAGGGAGAAAAAAGAGCTAAGAAGAAGAGATGACGGGTGGCTTAACGGTGTAGACGGCGGCACACAGGCTGCTCACCAGATTCCTGGGCTCCTGATCACTCTGTGAGGGACCCAACTGCTTTCCAATGCTGTTCTTTTCTTTTCTTTTCTCTTCCCGTACTGGGGATTGAGCTCAGGACCTTGCGCTCGTGAGGCAGGTGCAGTGCCGCTGAGCTACACCCCTGGCTCTCCAATGCATTTCTTGACTGCTTAAGTTAGAGACCAACTAGAGCACAGACTGCTTCTAGGACTTGCAACCAAACCTTGACACATTCATTCGAGGCACAGTTTTGTTTTGTTTTGTTAAGAAACTTTGAAGCACATATCAATAAATAATAAGCCAATTGTGGAAAGAAGAGAACTGAAGGTAAGTATTTTTATGGTACACATGAGATTGGTTTGGTGTCTAGCCTGGACCATGTCAAAAATCAAGGTGAGGCACTGGAGATTTAGCTCAGCGGTTCTGCCGCCTGCCTTGCAAGAGCAAGGGCCCAGGTTCGATCCCCGGTACCAAAAATAGAAACAAAAGCAAAAATCAGGGTGAGAATCTACGGCTGCACTGGTCCACCGGCATTCCATTTAAACTCAAACCCTGCTATCCAGAACTTTAAAATACTTATGCCTATAAATGCAGACTTTGTAAGAAACTTGTTTCTTTCCCTGACAATCAAGCATTCCCCTCTAACCCATGGTATCAGAGCTGGGCACTGTCTGGTATGTCTTTTATATTCTCTACTCTCTTTTTTATCTTGAGCTAAGGTCACAAATTCACATTTCTTATCCTTCTAGGCTGTAGGTGCCTGGAGAGCACATGTAAAACTTGACCCATCCATGCGTTCCTCTTAGTATTTATTGTGGGACCACGGAGAGTAAGATTGTGACTGACCCACGGAATGCTTTGGACAGACCCACACCTGGTCCACAGACGAAATGAGCTCAGCATTAGCCTGGATGGCACAGCTTATAGACCATCACTGCTAGAAAAGCATGGATAAATATTCCTCATGAGAATGTAAGATGGTAAATTTACTATGCCACACAGTTTGGTAGTTCCTCCAAAAGCCAAGTATAAATTACTATATGATACAGCAGTTTCATTCCTATGGATTTACCCAAGAGAATTAAAAAACATAAGTACATAGAACATTTGTACATAAGTGCTCCCAGCAGCATTATTCATTATAACAGAAGCATGGAAATAACCTAAACGTCTGTCATCTGAAGAGTTGATTTTAAAATGTGAGACAGTATTACCCATAAAAAAGGAAAGACATAGTGATACCTGCTTCAGTGTGAATAAGACTTGTAAACTCTGTCTAAAGGAAAGCAGCCAATCACAACAGGCCACATATTAGGAGATTCTATTTATATAAAATGTGCAGAGAAAGTACGAGACAGAGTAGACCAGTAGTTGCCAGGGGCTAAGGAAAGGGGAGAGGAAGAAAGAACCAACTGGAAAAAGCATAGGGTTTGTCCTCAGAAGGACAAAAATGTTCTGGAATTAGATAATGGTGAGGATTGCACAACCCTGTGAATATATTAACACCGCATTGTCCATTTAAAGTGTGAACTGTATGATATGCAAATAATATGATAAAAGATGAAAAAAGAAAACTGAAACTCACCTTTTTACTTGAAGGCGTAATTCAGCGCAGTCCTCTGTTAACTGGCTGTTAGCTTCTTCTGAGGTTTCCAAAGCCAATTTAAACTTATGATTTTCCTCTTCCAGTCTCTGTTTGTGGAAATGTAGGTCTGCTACATAGGTAATTAAGTCAGACACATCTCTAGGGGCAGAAGAATACATGAGGATGACCTCCAACATCTCCAGTCCCTTCTATTTAAAATAAACTATACGGTTAAGTTTGAGGATTAAATGTTCTTATGAAGTTTTCTGCTCCCATCCTCATCATAAATGCAGCACCTGTGTACAATAGATATTTATTCAAACTTTCATTATACAGTAAGAGCAAGGATTTTTTCCAAGAGTGCCCGTCAGCCCCGGCCACTCGGGAAATCAATTTGCAGGTCTTTAGCTCTTTGCCCCTTCCCTCCTCACGTTTGCTTTCCTCCATACTGAAACGTTTCTGTCTGCCCAGGTGGTGGAAGTTTCCAAAATAAGCAGATATGATTCATTGGGGCACTGGATGGCAGGAGGCTGCGCTACAACTTCAACCCGGACACAATTCCGAGAGCTTTATAGGTGGAGCCTGGGTTCACCACTAGTACTCATGTTCCCCGCCCCAACACTGGCTCAAAACCCCTTAGAAAAGTCTGGACTGCGTGTTTCACGGCACTCCGGACCACCTCTTCCTCTCTCCTGTCTTTTCTCAGTGTTTTAGCACAGGCTGGGTACATGGCCTCCTTCTTCACATTTTTGCTGGATAAAATAAGAAGGAAACAGAATCGCCTCTCTAATATCCACAGCTCACATGTTTAGTGGAAAACAGAATTTCCCACTCACGTTTAAAATACCCCAATAAAGAACCTTAAAATTAATCCCCTAGATTACTTCAAAAGGAACTTATTTTTTTATAGAAAACACATGAAGTCAATGAAAGAGAAGGGTTTCATGAGTGAATAAATGGTAATTTTTGGATTGCTAGTTTTATAAGAATTCATTTTCCTAATGAAACTGGTTCCAATGTAGATGGTATAAAATAGTTAAAATTTTAAAGACAATTATGTTAGCTCTACCTAAAAAAAGAAAAATGTTAAACGACTTTAAGTAAAAAGTGGATCTACTCAAGTGTAGTGTTGTAAACCTGCAATCCCAGCACTCTGGGAGGCTGAGGCAGGAGGATCAGGAGTTCAAGCCCAGCCTGGGAAACTTAGTAATTGAGCAAGACCCTGTATCAACAGAAAATAAACAAAGGGCTGGGGATATACCTCAGTGTGAGGGCCCTCCATTGGCAGTATTATTTTAAAAACATCAATGTATAGGGCTGGGGATTTAGCTCAGTTGTTTCACTGGCTCCTTTGTAAGCATAAGGTACAAGTTCGATCCCCAGTACCAGAAAAAGAAAAAAAAAAAAAACAACAACAACAAAAAAAAAGAAAATGTAAATCTTGGAAAAAAAGAAAATAAGCAAGGAAACTAGAAGCACTTGAGAATGCTTTGCCAGGGCGGGGTAATTTAGCTCAGTGGTGCCATGCCTGCCTCACAAGCACAAGGTCCTGAGTTTGATCCCTGGTACCAAAAAAAAAAAAAAAAAAA